AAAGACTGAAACTAGACACAGGGCTTAAATACAGAGGCAGACAGGCTAAACAAGATAACAAGAGGGCATGGCTAATAGGAAACACCTGGGGAGACTAATAAACATTAAACGTGGAACAAGACGGGAACACAGACTAGAATCATGACATATACAGTCTATGATTTGCACTGTTGCCTGATTTCCATTACAGGATTTATCAAAGGGCACAATTCAATCTCCCCATGGCACAAGAAAAAGAGTAAATACCCATATATTCATTCATTCTATATTCATTCTAAACATGCTCACACCCATATGCCTGCACACACGGGCACACACACACACACACACACACACACACACACACACACACACACACACACGCACACACACAAAAGTCAGCTCATATTGATTTGATGTGGCCCCTCCTTGTGTTAAGGAGCAGACATGATCTGAATTTTAAAGAGGTTGCATTACTTCACCCTCTCCCTCTCTCTCTCTTTCTTACACACATTTGATGTAATGTGGCCTTTGGTAAATTGCTGTTGAAAAGTGGCTCTATTTTGGCTCTTTCTGCGGTTGCTAAGCACAGATCTAATTGCTGGCAAATGTTTCTGGACTCTAATGTAAGTCAAACTGTTTGTGTGTGCGTGCGTGTGTGTGTGTGTGTGTGTGTGTGTGGGGGGGGGGGGGGTGTTTGGCATATAAATTAAGCTAATAGGTCTGGATCTCATTCCAGTCCAGCTGCAATGACCTAAAACTGGTACCTGAACATGGATCAGACCCAGAGATATGTCCACATCACCGCAGTCACTAACTCACTGTAATGCAGCAGCGACGGCGATAATCTCCAAGCACTGCAGCAAGAGTGTGTGAGTTTAAGCTTCCTGACTGTCCCACCACTGGTCTATAAAACGTATCTGCGAATCCTCTAGAAGCATCGACCTGAAGATCATTTCAAGCAGGAAGTGGTTGATGAGCTTTATGAGCCATATATGTATTTTAAGGAGCTGTGTGAAAGAGATTGTGCTAAGTGTGTTTGTGTGTGTGCGTGTCAGGATCTCTTCGGATCAAGGCTACTGCAATGCAGATATGCTAATGATCAGATAATGTCATATCATTTATGTATCTCTGCTGCATTGTTCCCAACTTTGTCTTTCATAAATGAGATGCATGTGTGATATCTCATGTTGCAGTGCTTGGTTTCTGGTCAGGCATGAATTGGAGCAGCTTTATATAACACCCTGATCAGAGATTCAAGACCCCGAGCGTCTCCCACAAGCCCCTGCCCGTTTGGCTTAATCTAAAGCATGCTTTGATTTCCTGCAGGCTCAAATTTGAGCTGCTAAAGAGAGACAGGCGCTCTCAGAGGGGAACTCGGTACACACGCATAAAGCCACTGTCATCTACTGTAACAGCAAACAAGGAGAGAAATGCTGTACTGAATACAAGACGCTTCAAGGTGTGAGTCTTCACGTCGATCATGTCAAGTTTCCCTTTGTGTGTGTGTGTGTGGTGTGTGGTGTGTCAGGTCAGGCCCATGCGAATAGTTAAAGCTGAGAAACACTACATTATGTTGACGAGCCAATGGTTTGCATGAGGAAACTGCTTAATAAACATGTATAATGTCTTAAAGTAAATAAAAATGCAGACAGATTTGTTTGAAAGTTAGATTTAAGGTTAGAGGGTAAAATAAATATTTAAATAAATAGATATTAGTTCAATATTATGGTCCTCAACATGATCATTTTTTTCAATTAAAATGATAAAATAATTTTATTGCCAAAATAAAATGATAAAGTAATAAAATATTCTTTACCTACATGTCATTTGAACAACCTAAAGATAAAGATGTTTTGTGACTCAGTAACTGCTCTAAGTCAGTGAGTTCATTCAGTGAATGGTTAGTCAGACTGATTCAGACCAGTACATTATTTGAGTCTTTTTGATTGATTTGTTATAGAATGATCGGTTCATTATTTTAAGTGTAGTTTGTGAATTGGCTCATAAGAGTCACTTGCTTGTGAATATAATTCATTTTGCGTTCATGCTGAAGATTCTTCAACAGCAGTTGATTTGTTCCGCCACTGAAAAGCGGTGTGAGCTACATGGTTGTGAAAAGTGTAGATATTCTGCCAGTGGGTTTAGCAGGTGTTTTTGTGTCACATGGTCACAGTTTGTCTCACCCAGAGCTTAAACTGTTAACATGTTTTCACTGAGTTCTGATGTGTTGACTGCTTGTAAATGTGTTGTCTTGATTTTTTTGAATGATAAAAACTTCTGCACTATTCACAGAGCTCAGGAACACCTCTAATTAACATCTCATCTACACCACACACACTTAAAAGATCACTTTGCTTTCTGTCAGATTTAATAACCATTGTCCAATACAGTTATAAATATGATACGTCATTTGAAATGAGAGAGAGAGAATTTAGGTGGGTAATGAAATTATGCAAGTGTCCAGTAACCACAGATGACGGATGTCAAAATCACTTGACAAGAACGAAACGTACAAAGAATAAATAGGAAAACACCACACGCATGCACCGCATAATAAAACGGCATGCGCTGTGATTTTTAAAACCTTTGTGTGCGTGTAAAAGCAGTTCTATGACTAATTGATGTAGCGTTAGCGCACTGCCGTGACCTCAGCTGAACCTAACCCACATTCAAATGAGAAGTGGTGGAGAGGGTCATTCCCACACACATACAGCTTACTGCATCATACAGTGCAGATCTGGAAACTATCTAACACTGTTTCTGTGACAACCAATGAAGGAACATGAAATTGTCTTTGAGAAGTGAGAGATGGAGAAAGACAGAAAGATAGTGTTTGTGTTTATTAGTCTTCCCTGAAGCATATGCCCGCATTTGATGACTCTTCTGTCTTTCTTGCTTCATTTTCTCATGCCTTTTCTTCATTAGCTGTGTTAACATGGACCCTAATAATCCATTTGTAATTGGACTAGTAGCACAGTTGGAATAAAAAGAGTCACATGTTACCACACCAATCAGAATTAATTGGCCAAATCCGACTGAAATTGGTTGAAACCTTTTCTATTCTGTTCAAGAGGACATGTAAACTAGCCTGGTTAAAACCAGACCATTCTCAGTTGTAACTGAGTTATGGTCTGGCAAAGCGTCATAGACAAATCATTTCCAGGGGGGCGTCACCAACGGACGTCGCGGATAGATCTAAAACCAATCAGAGCGATGAAGGAGATGACGTATGCAGAGCGGTGGAGAAACATCTCCGAGTGTTGTTCTTTGCTCGGTTTTTAACAAAAAGGAAACGTTCAAATCGCTTAAAACAGACGCGATAGCTGATTCGAACGAGTGATGTTCGACGGCGGCATCCATCTTTGTAATGTAGGCTACAAAATCTGCTTCAAAATCCCAGCGCTGTCGTCATCGTATAAAGCCCGCCCCAACGTTTCTGATTGGTGCCTCGATTTCGACGGATTGGAAATGGGCTTGAATGAGCTCTTTGCCAGACTAACTTTCAGAGCAAATCTAAATTTGCCGGAAGTTGTCTGGGTTTTCCCAGGCTACATGTAAACACTTGTTGGGGTTGAAAACCAAAACATGTGCAATGATGTAGAAATTGTATAATGACATGAGACAGAACGAGCTGTTGTTGTTGTTTAATATAGCGTAATAAATTACTCTTGTGTTATTCTAAAATTCCCATTCCACTTATTGTCTGTAAAGTTGTGCAGGACAATGTCATCCCAGCAGTCCTGGCTTCGGACTTTCATAAATAAATTTTTCTGGTAATTTTTTTTTTTTTTAATGTTAAACAATGTAGGCCATGATTGGTTGTGGAGATTTTCTGGTTGTAATGTTCTACGCTGCGGTTACTCTTGCAGAAAGGTCATGCAAGCATGGCAGCAAGTGGTCTGAATCTGTGCATGAAAGATTTTGTTTATGGTTCTGATGATGATGTTGTTAGCTTGGAGGTGGAGGTTTGTATTCAATGTTCCCTCTGAGCATGCCAGGCTGGGTGTTGGCCCTGTACAGATGACGGGAAAAAATGTGAGGAAAAAACGCATTTTTTTCTCATTTTCAGAACACTTCAGAAAACCCAGAAAATGTTGTTGTATGAATATCTGAACATACATTATGTTAAGGATAATGTAGAGCGAGGCGGTTGTTATAGCGAATACAACCCCGACAGGCTGATCAGGACCCTGACGCGAAGCGGAATTTGTTTTGCGAAGCATATTTGTTTGTTATGTTGCATTTATTGTAATTTGGCCTATAATATGCTGGGACGGTCAGTTGAGCAACAAGACATCTCAATTCGCAAAAGGATGCGTTCTGTGTCCTTGCGTCCTTCTAAGTTCGTTATTTCAAGGTAGCCTGGCAAGACCAGTCTCCACGAGAAGGCAAGTCTGTTATTTGCGTTCTTGGAATTGAGAAACAGCTATCATTTCATTGAATAATTTTTCAAGTACAAAAATAAGAGGGAATATTGATTGTATCTGTGTTTGTGAGTGTATTTAGACACAGTCAGAATTGATGAGGCTGCTCTCTCTCTCTCTCTCTATCTGTCTCTCTTGCATCATCCTCTTATTCTGACGGTCTGCCTCTGCATGACTGCATGCCGTTTATCTTTCTTCTTTTTCTCTTGGCCTGTCTTTTCCTCACTCTTTTCTTCCTCTCCTTCTTTTTCTTTCTCTCCCCCTCTCTCCAGCAAAACAATAAAAGTCAGGATAATTGATGACGAAGAATACGAGAAGAACAAGAGCTTCTTCCTGGAGATCGGAGACCCTCAGCTCGTAGAGACCAATGAGAAGGAAGGTGGGGGGCGTGGCCTGAGTCTGGCGAGGAAACCACACATACAGCACACACACACACACTGAACACCAGTCCTCTGGATCATCATCGGGATCAACTACAGGCCAAACTACACCATCGACAGCCCTGCAGCCCAGTCCCCGTGTGTGCTTGTGTGTGTGTGTGTGTGTATCATGCATGCATTATTCCAACCCCCTCCTGTTGTCTTGTTTCTGCAGGAAGACGATAACAGTCAGGGTTCTCAATCGAGAGGAATACGATAAGCAATGCAGCTTTTGCGTAGAGCTACAGACGCCACTTTGGAGAAGGAGAGGATGGACAGTATACAGAGGTTTCTTTCCCTCTCACAGTGTCTCCTTCGCTTTTTACTCTTCTCTCCCTCTGGGCAGAGTCTCACCCTCTCTGTCTCTCTCTCTCTCTCCTGGTGTCTGGTTGCTGTTTTACTAATCAAATGACTTTTCTTTGCTTTCGCTGATTACGCAACTTCTCGCATAACAACACGCATACATTATACATATACTTTAAAGGGGTCATATGCATTAAAACATGCTTGTTTTAATGTTAGTTAAAGATTATTGCAGCAAAAACATAATAAAGACTCAGTTTTCAACATTCGTAATGTAACTGCTGATCGGTCCTGATGCGTCCAGTGATGGACCGCCAACTCACCTGTCAATCAATCATTGCACTAAAAGGGATTTACATTTTCTGGTAATGTGCATCTTTTTTTTTTAGAATTTTTTTTTATTTTAGCAATGACCTTGCCATGATCAGAACAACGTTTTGCTAGATTTCCTCCATATCTTACTCTTGTCTTTAGTTATATGCCAGTAATAGTATCTTTAGGTGTTAAGTAGCAAGAATATCATAAAAAGCCCTGTTAATGTTTAAATGTGGGCGGTCAAATGCATATTAACATATTAAGATTTCAGAACAAGCCGTATCTGCAGTTTTATTTCAATATGCACCACTGCTCAAAAGATTGGTATCAGTAAGATTTTTTTGTTTTTATTAAAAATACAATAAATCAGAAATATTGTGAAATGTTACAATTTAAAATAATTGTTTAAATATATTTTAAAATGTAATTTATTCCTCTAATAACTAAGCGGAATTTTCAGCAGCTATTTCAGCAGTCTTCAGTCTCACATGATCCTTCAGAAATGATTCTAATCTGCTGATTTTATGCTCATGCTTGCTGAATAAAAGTATTAATTTCTTCTTCTTTTTTTTATCTTATTGACCCTAAACTTTTGAATGGTAGTATATGGTCTTTATAGTCTGAAGCTTGCAGTCTGTTCATATACTACACAAAACATTTATTTAGAAAGGGCAGTTACATTTTAATGGTATGACCCTTTTATTTCTAGTGATCATCTGCTCTTACACAATCTTTGTGTATTTTACCATATAGGGTGTTTTCAATATACTTCAGAAAGAAAGCAAGCTTCAAAGCGAATTGTTTCATTTCGTTTCCTTGCAATAATCTCATAACTAGACACAAAGGAAATGTCAAAGCACACCAGCAAATGAGTTCAGATGCTGGGCTGTAAATCATGAGGAGAGATTAGGGGAGCTCGAAAAGACTCCGAGCTCAAGATTGTGAGCTGTCTTCAAAGCCAAGGTTGTTTGAGTATGTTTCATCTCACATTTAGATAAACATTTCTTTTCCAGGAAGCAGAGCGGTTCAGTTTCCCAGCACTTCAGTGTTTTGATGTGTATCAAATGTTTTTATCATATTTATATTTCAATTTTTTAAATTAATGATTTTGGTTAATGGTGTATTTTAGCATAAGTGATATAAGATGCAATAAAAGGGATCCAAAGGTCAAAACATGGAAAATAGGAGCTAATTAGAGAGCGGAACATCAGGTAGAATTCAATGAAATGCAGCTGGATTTGGTTATGCATTTTTGATGTTGTTTTGCTACACAGCCATATGACTTCATCAGTGATTAACAAAAAAAATTGATTAAGGCACTCAGATGAGTGGTGAAACGTTTTCAAAATAATTAATAATCGAGTCCATTTGCTTTTGATTAGCTTTGTTTGTAAGGCATTTGAGAGTACCCTGGATGATAAAAAAAACCTTCATACTGTAGATAAGAGAAAAGAGATTACTTATTATGAAAGAAAGAAGAGACGCTAGAAAAATAAAGGACAGTAGAAGAGATGGCTGGATGAGAATGAAAGGGGGGTGTGTGTGTGTGTGTGTGTGTGTGTGTGTGTGTGTATACAAGCTGTAGACTGAAAATGATAGCTCTGTTTTCAAGGACAAAACAAGAGAGAGAGAACATCAGCCAATTAAATCAATATCAAATTACATGAACCTGACTCCATCTTAATGTTGTGTCACATCTATAGACAGAATAGGAAAAATATGCAGCATCTCATTCAATTACCAAAGCTAATCACAAAATCTCAATGTGACCAATTCATTTTTAATTTGTCTTTACTTTATTACTTCTGAGATGTGCCACATTTTCTGTTGGTCTTTTAATTTACTTCCTATCCATCTTTTAGCTTCTTTTTTTTTCTTCTGTGGTTGTCACGCTACACATCTCAGTGATGGACACAGATCTACAGTGGGCCTGAAATGTATTACCAGCTGGTTAAAAATAGCTGGTTACCAGCTGGTTAAAAATAGTTAGAAAATTTTTGAAAAACTTTAAAAAAAATAATCTGAAAACTATTTTCCCCACCTCCCATTAGAAATCCCTTAATTTTTATTTGTATTTATTGTATAAATATTTGTATTTGATTGATGAAATCTAAACAATAAAATACCAATTTATAATAATATCTACATATTTTATAATTAATTAATCATTTTTTTCATAGTAAATTACATTCCCTGCCTTTTGATATTGTTGGATTTCAGTAATATTAGTTTCTCTTATATCTGTTTCCTGTATAGTTGGTATTTTAATTCATGTGAGTGACCGTATAATTTAAGCATGACATCAATCAAACCTCTCTGACCCAATTATTGATATTTGTGAGACCCAATTATTGATATTTGTGATACCCAATTATTGTTCAGCCTGTTCCTCTTCAGTTTTTCTTCAACTAGTTATTGGTCAGTCCATTATCCGCTATCCATTTCGTATTGACTTACTACTTCAAACAGGGCCATTACAATTTGACCAATCAGTTCTTGTTTTCAATTGAATGTCTTCTTTACAGATACCACAAACAAGATAGAACTACCGTTTGCGAGAAAAATGATTGAGAGACTGTTACATGCTAAAACCATGAACAAAACTGAGGAGATAGTGAAATAACATGTAAGACTAAACACAATGTGGAAAAAATGATCTGCATTCAGAGGGACAGAAACCGAAAGAGATGGTGATGTGTGTATTTTGTTATCGCACAAATCAACAGGCAGAAAAGTGTGGAAAACCAAGTAATTCACTAAAAAGGAGAACTTGCCGTCTGAGAATAAAGATGAACGGATTACACTGGAACAGATGAACATAAAATATTGAGAGAGAGAGAGAGAGAGAAAAAGAGAGAGAGAGGCTGTTTAGGCTACAGGAGCGAGTTGCTCTGCCATTAATCTGACAGTGAATCTTATGCTGGAATCCTCCACTAATGCCTCTGGGTTCATTTGTGGCTTGTGATTTATTTGTTCCATTAGATATTTCATTCGTTTATGCTGCCATTTCTGCCTATGAGGCTCGTGTTTGTTTTGAGCTTGGGAATGTAGTCATCATAACATTGTTTTATGACTATTGCTGTTGTTGTTGTTATGGTAATGCCAGCTGAGCTTGTGAACTGAAAAGAAATATGAAATAAATGAGACAGAAAGAGAAATTGAAAGAGAGAATATATGTGATAGGACTAAATTACCATGTTGCTGCCCAAAGGATTGTCATTTTCTCCTTTCCCAGCCCTTTCCTTTTCTGTCCACATCAGTATGTGCATGTCTCTAATGTTGCTTAATTTCCAAATCTCATCATACCTCCATGTCGATCTGCTTCTGCTTCTTTTCCTTTGACCCTCTCATTTCATTGTGTGTGTGAATGTGGGTGATTGATTGGGCTAAACCCAGTCACATGGTCAGGGGTTGTGTATGTCACACACTTACTTACCCACAATTCCATTGGGCCCATAGAAGCTTCATCGCTGAAACAAATGAAGGAAAAATCCTGCCCCTGACACAGCTCTCATATACGTATGCAGAGTCACAGTGGTCTGTGTGTGTTCTGTTATAAATGTATGATTTATGAAATGTACCCTGTTTTCTAAATTTACCAACGAAGATCTGAGATTTTGACTTTTTAAAGGATTTTCCCCAGCAGAGCCAAATTCTTGTTCACTGTAGCATTTTGACAAAAACTATATTTACACAATCCAGTTTATCCAAAGAAACCTATTGATCAACAAATATGTTTTGGATGATTATTTGAATTATAAGGTGGGTTTGTTTTCTACTCTCTATCTTGTGCTTTTGTTTTCAGAGGAGGAGAAAGAGGCGGGGAAGGAAGAGGAGGAGCCTCTGACAGGCGAAGATGATGAGGAGCGACGCATCGCTGAAATGGGGAAGCCAATGCTCGGAGATCACCCCAAACTGGAGGTTATCATCGAGGAATCTTATGAATTCAAGGTGAGTTATTTTGCTACACCCACTTTTTTTAATTATTCATAATCACATTAAAGCAACCAAGGGATACTTCAACCAAAAATGAAAATTATGTCATCATTTACTCAACTTCATGTGGTTCTAAACTTGTATGACTTTTTTCTTTTGTGAAACACTAAAGAAGATAATTGAAGAATGTCTACATGTTTATTTGTCCATACGTTGAAATTCAAGAGGGTCCAATGTTTGTTTGTTTGTTTGTTTTGTTTTGTTTTTTGGACCCCATTGACTTTCATTGTTTGGACCAAAAAAAGTTCTTCCAATTATCTCTTTTTGTGTTCTGCAGAAGAAAGTCAGTCATACAGGTTTTTAACAACTTGAGGTTAAGTAAATGAAAACAAAAGGTTAATTTTTATGTGAACTATTCACTTACATGCATACTGCCATAAATCTACCAATAGCCAATTATCATATGAATACAAAACAGATCTCCCGTTAAGATCTCTACTGCAGTATACTTAGTAAACTTAGGGCTTTTTTTATGATTTGTGGATGATTTTCATTGACAATAGTTGCTAGTATTTACGCAAACCTGACACTGGGTTACTACATTTATCACTTACTTTATAGGTTACATACAGTATGAATTAGAAATACATCAGACTGCAAGTGTGTAGATACCTGTTTTTCTGTAGAAACAAGTTTCCTTCTAGTTCCTTATAGAAACATTCTCATTCTGTCAGGGAAGGTCAAGGATCTTAAACATTGACATCTCATCGGTCGCCTCCACACACTTCAGGACGAAACACATGCACACGCCTGCACTTCAGCCCACTTGCACTAGCCATGCTGAGACGTACACACACTCTGATCCCACACACACTTCACAGCGGGGCAGACCAGAGAGCAGTCAGAAGCACTCGATGGATTGTGGTCCGCCCCGTCTGAAGTGTGTGTTTGTTTGTTTATTCTTGTTCTCAGTTGCACTGGACAGTTATGAAGCCGGACATTTTCTTTGTTTGCTGTGTCTCTCTCTCTTCTCTATAGAACACTGTTGATAAGCTGATTAAAAAGACAAACTTGGCTCTTCTGGTTGGCACCAACAGCTGGAGGGACCAGTTTATTGAGGCCATCACAGTCAGCGCTGGTGAGTATTTGGGTTGTGAGGAGCATCAGCAGGTCAGATTTAGCGATTCATTAAAAAAGAACAATTCGTTCGAAATGTTAATCTTTTATAAGTGTTGCCAGAAGTGCCTGCATTAGTTAAATGCCACTGTTTAGCACTTTGTTTTCAATTGGGTTATATCAAGGGTGTCCAATCCTGCTCATTGAGGGCCATCTTCCTGTAGAGCTCAGCTTCAGTATCAATACACCTGCCTGGAAGTTTCTAGTAATCCTGAAGAGCTCGATTAACTGGTTCAAGTGTGTTTAATTAGGTTTAAAGCTAGGCTCTGCAGGAAGGTAGCCCTCCAGGATTAGACATCCATGGGTTATATAGATTGCATCAAATGTTTTTTGGTTTCCACTTGAAATGTCAAATGCACTGATACTTTGGTACTGGTACTGTGTTGACACTAAAATATTTTTTTTTAAGTATATTTCTACAGTATTCGTTGTACCAAGTACTAGTTTACCACAGTTTTATTTCCTGTGATTCAGTGTGACCTTGTTCAGGAGAATGACTTTTTTTTTTTCACTGTTTGTAAGTGTGTGTGATTGAACTGAACATATGGCCATGTATGGTACATGTAGGTTCCAAAAGAGGGTTTTGTAGCAATGCCATAGAAAAACCATTTTGGATTCCCTAAAGAACCCTTCAGTAAACATTTACAGTGCATCTGGAAAGTATTCACAGCGCTTCACTTTTTCCACAATTTGTTATGTTACAGTCTTATTCCAAAATGGCTTAAATTCATTATTTTCCTCAAAATTCTGTAAACAATACCACATAATGACAACATAAAAGAAGTTCGTTTGAAGTCTTTGCAAATTTATCAAAAATTTAAAACGAAAAAATCATATGTACATAAGTATTTACAGCCTTTGCCATTACACTCAAAATTGAGTTCAGGTGCATCCTGTTTCCACTGATCATCCTTGAGATGTTTCTACAACTTGATTGGAGTCCATCTGTGGTAAATTCAGTTGATTGGACATGATTTGGAAAGGCACACACCTGTCTATATAAGATCCCACAGTTAACAGTGCATGTCAGAGCACATACCAAGCCATGAAGTTCAAGGAATTGTCTGTAGACCCTTTCGAGACAGGATTGTATCGAGGCACAGATCTGGGGAAGGGGACAGACAAATTTCTGCAGCATTGAAGGTCCCACTGAATACAGTGGCCTCCATCATCCATAAATGAAAGAAGTTTGGAACCACCAGGACTCTTCCTAGAGCTGGCCGCCCGAGGGAGAAGGGCCTTAGTCAGGGAGAGAGCAAGAACCCGATGGTCATTCTGACAGAGCTCCATCGTTTCTCTGTGGATAGAGGAGAACCTTCCAGAAGAACAACCATCTCTGCAGCTCTCCACCAATCAGGCTTGTATTGTAGAGTGGCCAGACGGAAGCCACTCCTCAGTAAAAGGCACATGTCAGCCTGCATGGAGTTTGCCAAAAGGCACCTGAAGGACTCTCTGACCATGAGAAATGAATGGCAAGCGTCATGTCTGGAGGAAACCAGGCACTGCTCATCACCTGGCCAATACCATCCCTACAGTGAATCATGGTGGTGGCAGCATCATCTGTGGGAATTTTATGCAGCGGCAGGAACTGGGAGACTAGTCAGGATTGAGGGAAAGATGAATTCAGCAATGTACAGAGACATCCTTGATGAAAACCTGCTCCAGAGCGCTCTGGACCTCAGACTGGGGAGACGGTTCATCTTCCAACAGGACAATGAGCCTAAGCACACAGCCAAGATAACAAAGGAGTGGCTACGGGACAACACTGTGAATGTCCTTGAGTGGCCCAGCCAGAGCCCAGACTTGAACCTGATTGAACATCTCTGGAGAGATCTGAAAATGGCTGCGCACCAACGCTCCCCATCCAACCTGATAGAGCTTGAGAGATTTTGCAAAGAAGAATGGGAGAAACTGCCCAAAAATAGGTGTGCCAAGCTTGTAGCATCATACTCAAAACGACTTGAGGCTGTAATTGGTGCCAAAGGTGCTTCAACAAAGTATTGAGCAAAGGCTGTGAATACTTATGTACTTGTGATTTTTTTTTCTTCTTAATTTTTTCTTTGAAAGATTTCAAACAAACTTCTTTCACATTGTCATTATGGGGTATTGTTTGTAGAATATTGAGGACAATAATTAATTGAATCCATTTTGGAATGAGGCTGTAACACAACAAAATGTGGAAAAAGTGAAGCGCTGGGAATCCTTTTCGGATGTACTGTATTAAAAGAACTTTTACACTAAATCAGTGTACCTTGACACTTAAAGCTTTAAAGTGCCCCATTATGCTTTTTCGAGTACTATCTTTCATGTAGTGTGTACTATTGCTGTTTGTGAGTGTAAAAGGCATGCAAAGTTTTAAATGTCAAAGTGCACGACAAATAAAGATATTGTCCTGATCGATCCTGATCTGCCGAAACGAGTCATCACCAATTCCAGTCTCACTTCCTGTTACATACTTATGTGACAATGTAACAAATTTGCATAATGCAAGCCTATGGTCTTCATTGGCTGCCCACAAACGACGTCTACTTTTTACCCTCAAACACTGTAGTTGTACGTGAAAGTGGAAGGTTGGTTTGTGTTGTCGACATGTCAAGAAGATGTTGTTTTCAGCATTGCGAATCCAATGAGGACTCAGGCTCGAACTGATACGAAAAACCGACACCATCGTTACTGTTCGTATCACTGTGTGTACAAGTGCTGAGGAAGCTGAAATTCAGAGATAGTTATATGCATTTTGTTTCCAACACGCGGTAGACCAATCACAACAGACTTGACCGTCTGACCAATCAGAGTAGGCTTGCGGAAAGGCAGGATTTAGATAGACGGAATCCTTTATTTATTCATTTGAGACACTGTTCATTCACTATTCATTTGCCCTTGGATGCATGTTAACCTATTGTAGGAGACCTCCAAAACAAAATTAGGAACCTTTAAAATAGCATATGTTATCATCCAAAGACCTTTTCCACTATAAATAAACTTTTGTTCAATGGATGTTAAAGGTTCTTCATGGAACCATCGATGCCAATAAAGAACCTATTTTTAAGAGCATACAGTATCTGTGAAATATATCTCTGCTGTAAAGCGCCCCCTGGTGGCAACTGTGCTACTTTTGAAATTCAGTTTTACATCCTCACCTCACATTCAAGACACTCACAGCCATGCGAAGGAGTCTCTATTCTTTGTGCAAAGGACAGAAAGACAGCAGATGAAGGTGGAGAAAGAGAAAAACAAGAGAGGGATTTATTTTTTTTGGTTTGTTTTCTCTGAAGTAATTAGCACTCGCAGCACGGCCTAAGAGAGACTGATGATCATGGAGGCTGCTGCTGCTCTAGCCATGTGTTTGTGTGTGTGTTTTTGTGTGGATCAGGTGTTGGTGACTTAGTGATTCACACTTGAACACCTCTCAGTGTGCCAATTTGTGCTCTGGGGCAAAGCAAGGTTAAAAGCGTGTGTGTGTGTTCTTTCAGAGCTGACCTGTAATCACCAGTAGTACACAACTGCTCTCAGACCAAGTCTTTTCATACAGCATTTAGTTGTTTCTAAAACAGCTTTTTTGTATGTAAAAAATTTTTATTTTTTATTTTTTTAAGATTTAGTAGTTTTCTCCTCCACTACACCTCTCAAATGTTATTCAAATTCACATATTTTCAAATTTGGTGTGCCAAGATGTGTCAGGCCAGGTTGTCAATCAATAATGCTACTGTACATGTTCATAGTTCTTGTGTGTCTTTAATGAATCACAGTGCAGCAAATTTAAATATCATATAGACTATTTATACAATAATTTCATGTTTGTTTGTTTTTCCATTTTTGGATCTTGGCAGCACCATTTACTTTCATACTGGGAAAAAAGCAATGCAAACAACCTATCTAACATCAAACTTGCATTAATTGATTCCTTACAGATGTCATTGACTGATGACAAATGGAACACCTGGATTGTTTTTTATCTAATGCCACTGAGGAAGGAACAGAGATTTTTCCATGACTTTTTATCAGGACACGCAGACGTACACACGTACATATACGCAAATGCACACAGATACAAAGAAGCGGAAAAGGTCTGCAGCTAATGGCAGTAAATTGAAGAGTTTAAAGTTTAAAAGCTTTGCTAAATGTCAGACTCTGCAGCACAGCGAGATAATTTATATCGAAAGATAAAGAGAGTCAACACAACATCAGCACTGAGGGTGTAGGGGCTTATCTATAGATTGGGCACAAAAAAAGGCACAGAATTGAGCTACATGTGATACAACCTTCCTTTGGGACAATTGGGGATGTCGTTAATTGGGAAAATTATTCATGAAGAATTTTTTATAAATAAATTATAATTAACAAAACCATTATAAGTGAAGGGGGGAAGGGGAGTTCACTTTAAAAATGCCATATATATATATATCTTTGAGGGTTTAGGTCAGTTTGGGTCACATGTATAAATATTAGAAATAAAATATTAAATACTTATTAAAATTACTAAAACTAAAATTAAAGATATATAGAATTTTTTTTCTACTAAACAAAAGCATAAAAGCACATAAAATAAATTACTACAAGTTAAACTAAAATTACAATGAAAACTAAAAATATATAATTAAAAGCTACAATAATAGACAGTAAGTATACAATATGTCCTCATTTAGGACATTAATCATGTTTGTTTTTTTAAATGCCATTTGTCAATGGCATAGTGCATGTATGCATGTATTACTCTTGTCTGAAAGCAATCTGATGCTCTTTTATGAGGCATTTACACCCTTCAGACACACTCGTGAACAGCACATAAAGCATCATGTTGACCTTCTCTGTCTTTTTGCCACAGATGTGTCCATATTTACACACACGTACTGCAGTGACAGCAAACATCATTGTGACCTAATACTCTTGGGCTGTAACGAAACAGTCCAACATACACACATTTTTAATGATCAGTATGAATGTTCTGTCTCAGCGAATGTGTCCCAATCTAACTATCTACTTGATCAATAATCCTTTAAATCACAGTGTGTAATCAGGTTTTTGCCTGTGAATAGAAAGTCTTAGCGAAACAATGACGAAATCCACTGCCAAAGGCTTGAATCCGTTTGCTCTCAGCTGCTGCTGTGAATAGACGAGATTTCTGAACATCCTGTAGCATCTAATCACACTTTAAAAGAACAGCCTCACCTGTCAGAGAGCAGTGTGTGGGCGTGTGTAAGCTGCTCTCTTTACGCTCTCAAGGAAACGCCGCACCAACAGAATATCAAACAGATTAGAACCTCACTGAACACACACACACATGCTGTGTGCTCTACATATGGATAAAAGGCTGTGTGTGTGGAGGCTTTATCTATCGATTTTAACCGAGGGGGAACCCCTTATTAGCCCAAGTCAAAACGTGACATTCTGGTTCCTAAATATTATCCCAGATTCCTCCTTCAATGTAAATCCATGATAGTTCTTGCTTGTTTTAGCACAAATGGTACAGGATGAGTCATGTGGCAAATCTTGAATACTTAGGGGTTTATTCACCTTGTATAACGTCATTATCTTATCTTCCTGCAGGTGAGGATGATGATGATGAAGAATGTGGAGAGGAGAAGCTCCCCTCCTGCTTCGATTACGTCATGCATTTCCTCACCGTCTTCTGGAAAGTTCTCTTCGCCTTCGTCCCGCCCACCGACTACTGGAACGGGTGGGCATGTTTCGTGGTGTCAATCCTCATGATCGGCCTCCTGACGGCTTTCATCGGAGATCTAGCATCCCACTTCGGCTGCACCGTCGGACTCAAAGACTCCGTCACAGCCGTGGTGTTTGTGGCGCTGGGCACTTCAGTGCCAGGTGAGAGAAAGAGAGAAGTGGGAGGCAGGAAAAAAACATACCTCTGATTTTTGTGTTTCAGCCACCCATGTTTATGTTTACATACAGCCATTTATCACAGAATGAGGATGTGCTATGTGTGCGTGTGCATCCGTGTGCGCACAGGGCTATGATTATGATATCATATAATTATGCAGAATAAAGCTCCTTGCTACATTGAACCCCCATATATTACTTTCATCAGTCATGATAACTGTTATTTAAAACAGGAAAAACACACACACACCACAATGTTGTGTGTACAGAGGAGACACAAACAGCACAATGTTTATGTACAGAGGAGACACACACACACACACACACACACACACAGACGTTAAATAGATTGTGTCTGCTGGAAGTGCAGGGCATGTTCACCATGTTTAGTATTCCAGACACACTGGGCTACTCGTAGAGAAAATGCTGAGAGAGCAGAAAGCAAAAGCATTCCCATCTCTCTCTCTCTCTAATGCTGTTCTTCTCCCTCTTTACCTCACTCACTCCATTTCTTTTCATCCTCCATTTCTCGCCCTTTTGCTCTTCTCATCTCGCTGCAGAAAATCATTTTCTAACATTTGCATCTTGCTTTCCAGTAAAAGTCATTATACATTGACTATGTCGTACACACAAAAGGACAACATTTTCTTAATTAGTCATTTTTCGAAACATTCTTAAAGGGCTAATTCACCCAGAAATGACAGTTTTGTCATTATTTATTCACTATCATGTTGTTCCAAACTTTCATGAATTTCTTTCTGTGGAACATAAAAGAAGATACTTTGAATAATGTTTTTTGTCCATACAATTTAAGTCAATGGGGTCCAAAACAACACTGGACTCCATTGACTTTCATTGTATGGACAAAAAAAAAAGAAACAAAATAAACCCCACAGAGATTTTCAGATTATCTTTGTTTCTGTTTCACAGAAGACAGAAAGTCATAAAGGTTTGGAACGACATGAGGATGAGTAAATGATGGCAGAATTTTCATTTTTGGGTACATACTGTATATATATCAAGTTCAGTTGTGCATTTGCATCTATCTTTGCATTATTATCCATATGGCAAAGCGCTTCAGTTACTGTTCAGTGCTGTTGATTCACTCTGCAGCTTCAGCTCATGCAGCTCACATGGAAATGCCCGACATAATTGACTATGATTGGATTTAAAACAATCATATTCCTTTAAAATGTTCTTTTTCAAAAAAAAATTATAATCTAGCAGTGTTATCGATAGGCCTATTTCATTTTCTAAATACCATGTTATCATCAATACACCTGTAACTTCCACAAATTGTTTTGCGTAAGTGCAGATGAATGGATTTATTTCCAGAATAATATTTATTATAAAATAGATTGATGAGACGCTAAAAGTGATTGAAATAAAAATGAAAAATGGTACTTGCTGAAGTTCTTCAGTATTCCTTTTTACATGAACTGTGCTACTCAATCAATATTTAAGTCATGTTTCTTTTTCAATTGCAGTGCTATTTGGGGACAGAAAAAAAAAGAATATCTGATTTAGTGGCAGCACTCGTGGAAGTACTACAGATGTTTAGAGAAAAGTACTGTAGTGGGTTTTGTTTTAGGAGAAAATTTAATTCAAGCACATTTTGTCCCAGTTGGCCTTTAGACACATTTTACCCTATCAGCTAAAATCATTTACGTCGTACCCTATCAGCTAAAATCACTTGCTAACAGGAAACTGGGGGAATATGTTTTTCCCCTTAGGGTTAGAGAAAGGTTTGTTTGAGGGGATAAAGCTTAGAAAATGCCATTACATTTTTTGGTGAAGTTTGATCAATGAAATCACAAAGGCTGGTTCAGACACCAACAACTATGATACTTGCACTCTTTACAGGTCAAAAATCAAGTCAATAGTAAGGTAAATGAGGCAAAAAAAAAAAAAAAAACGTTCTACTGAAGAGTTTACAACCATATCCATTGATTGTTTTCTGCTGTTTCTGCACAGTTTGACAAAATGACAAATGTGTCAATCTGAAGTGAGAAATGAAAGCCAGTAGTACTGAGAAAACAACTGAACTTCCAATTAACCAAGCGCACGACCATAAACTAGGCGAGGGACATGTAGGCTGACTGATAAGGCAGCGTTCACCAATGCTTTTAAAACAAAGCCTTTAGACTCAGCATATATCGTGTGTATCTTTAATTAACTTGCTTGATGAATTTAAAATGAATGGGTTTGATGAGTGACGTGCATCCTCTGAATGCAGTCACGCTAATGTGTGGCGATATACAGTAGGTTAATTAAAGTGATTTTTCTCTCTTTTGATTAAATATTATTTAGTCCACTTTGTATTTCCCAGCACAGACATACATGAGCCACAGGGACATTTATAGTCGAAAAAGCACTCATTTGATATGTGTGGTCGTTCTGTCAAGTTTGTGTCCATATGCAAACGTAAGCATATGAGGTTTATAACAGTTTCAAAGTCTGTTACAGTCTGATCCATTTAACTCCGTAATGATTAACTGCTCCCAAGCGTCGTTCTGGGATGAAGCTATGCATTGCCATGACACCCACATTAGCGGCAGTTGTCGTCCGCACACTGCCAGGTTCGTTGGCAGGACTTTACACCAGACTGGGTGTTAGCTGAGCCTTAACTGAGAATTTCCTTGCTAATGCCATGGAAACGGCTCCGTCCATGCTGTTGTTTACAACAACATAACAGGAGAGTGATGAATAACGAGAAGGAAAATGTTATTTCAGAGTCGAGTACTTTACGGTACTTATAATACTGTGTCTTGAGATGCTGCAGCGTCAATTTGGGTCTTTTAAGCCCTTAAATGATTACTGTTCTCAGATACTTTGTCAGATTTCCACCGAGAGTTTCTAACCTTCACTTTTAGACAGACGCTGAGTGCTGCAGTCATGTCCCGTTGAAATTACCGCAATTACCAGATGACAACTTTGAGCTGTTTCGAAAAGCTTCAACACGACACTTCTTAGGCGAATAGAAAGTTCAAAACAACAAGGTTTATTTGAAATAGAAATCTTTTGTAACATTATAAATGTCTTTACTTGATCATATTATCTGTGTGTGAATATAATATTAGAATGTGTGAATATCAGAGTGTGTATCCGCAGGATAGTGAGACCTTTAAATTAGGAAAATGGCTCTTTGTGACCACAGGCAGCAAAGAGTAATATCAACATGTCCAGAGCAGTTCAGCGGGGTTGTCTGTTATGAACTACATTAGCATAACGAAAGAGAGAGATGAAAATTAAAAGAGACAAGGAGGAAAGGGAGTGTATGTGCATCTAGGGTTATTTAGAGGCCTTCCCAGACAGAAAGCACGGTTTCTCAGCTGTCTATAATAGATCACCCTCTCAGCGACAGAGAAACACCACACTGTTTAAATGCCCACTGATTTCAACTCAAATCAGAGGTTAACCAGGCTGTTATTACAAAATTGAAAAATCCTCACCAAAAAAGGAGAGATGAGTGAGAGAGGATTTTTTTAAACATATTTTGATGAACAAGATGTACAGTACTTGAAGTAGAATTATTTTAATTACTCATATAAAGATTACTTCTTGTCTCGAATTTTTTTTTTTTTTTTTTTGTTCTTGTTTTAAGCATAAACCTCACTCAATTTTAGAATTCTCATTAGATTTATGATTGATGTACTTTTGGTACAAAATAAATAAACTAAATGTTTCGAAACAAGCAAAGTAAATATATACATTTTTTATGTAAGGGATAATCCACGGCTAGCCATGCATTAAAGGATTTTAATGCACGACGTAGAGGCGAAGAACCACCCGACGCGAAGCGGATGTTATTTGCCTTGGTTATTTGCCAAGTTAAAAAGAAGTTAAAGCTGTAACTGATGTTTACAGTGTAATTTTTTAACAGACGTGTAAAAATGACGGTTATTTTCTTAAGTTACGGCTCGTTAGTTCTAGCACTCCGTCCGCTTTAAATAAAGCCGTTGGATTGCTTTTATTTGAATGAATTATCACATTTATTTAAATTCATTATTAAAAGAGAGAGACAGAGAACTGAAAGAGTCCCCTCGTTGCTTAAGCATAGGCTATAGCTAACTTAATGATTCTTTAATGGATTTATTAAAATTATTTATGAATGACAGGCAACAGTGACAGTGACAAGGCAATCTTTATTTGAACTAATCATGTCATTTATTTAAATGAATTATGTAGAGTGTGAAATAAAACCGGCGTCTCTAACCACGATTACTATATAAAGACACATTACATTACATTGAAATGCATTAAATTAAATGAAAACAAAAAATCAAACAGTTGGATATTTCGATAGGGGATTGTTTTACTCATCATTATACTAATTGATGTTAAACTCCACATTTCCATTTATCGTGAAGTTAGACATGGAAAAGGGTTATTTCAGTCATTCAACGTCTTCTCCAAGTCTTCTATTTCGTCTTGTGCCTCGGCACATTTCTCAAAATTGCCATATTCACCATAAAAATTAAACGATATGCAAAAATCATCCAAACGTTTTCATGTGTCTCTCACTCTATTTGCAAGTGTAACTGTGTTACTATGGTTACCAATGTTTATAGTAGCGGATTCATTTCGAACTGTAATCAAACTGACTGGAACTACCTGTGCATTAAACGGTTTTACTGCACACCTTCCAGCCAATCAGAATCGAGTATTTAAACAGCCCGTGGTATAATTATTATTATACACTACCGCTTAAATCTTTCTATTTCAGATAAATGTTGTTCATTTGAACTTTTTATTCATCAAAGAATCAAGGAAAAAGGTTTACTGACAATACAACATTGATAACAATAATAAATGTTTCTTGAGCATCAAATCAGCATATTAGAATGATTTCTGAAGGATCATGTGACACTGAAGACTGTAAATGCTGAACATTTTACATTTTAAAAGATATTCAAATAGAAAACATTTCTTTTAAATTATAAAACTATGTCACAATATTAGTGTTTTTGCTGTATTTTGGATCAAATAAATGCAGCCTTGGTGAGCGGAAGAGAAAAAAATTGGTATTGTTTATTTATGCTTGTTTATTTGCTTAAGTTATTATTATTATTTATCCCTCAGAATGTTTATGAATCAAGATAACTATTCAAAGAAGTATTTTACTGTACTAAAATCTTTCTTTCCCATCCATCTCCTTTCTTTTTTTTCTCCTGTCCTGCCTTCCTCACCATCTTCCTCTCAGACACCTTTGCCAGTAAAGTAGCAGCGACACAGGATCAGTACGCCGACGCCTCCATCGGAAACGTGACCGGCAGCAATGCTGTGAACGTCTTCTTGGGCATCGGAGTGGCCTGGTCCATCGCCGCCATCTACCACAACTCAAAGGGCCGCGATTTCAAGGTGGAGCCGGGTAGCCTGGCCTTCTCCGTCACCCTCTTCACCATTTTCGCCTTCATCTGCGTGGCGGTGCTCATGTACCGCCGCCGGCCCGACATCGGCGGTGAGCTGGGGGGTCCGCGGACTGCTAAAGTGCTGACCACCATGCTTTTCGTCAGCCTCTGGCTCCTCTACATCCTGTTCTCCTCTCTGGAGGCTTACTGCCACATCAAGGGCTTCTAAACACACGTACATGCGCTCACACATGCATACACTCTCAGAACTACACACCTTCACACAGTGACACACACGTTCATGCATTCTGTGGAAAATACGCAAAGACTAAAGGTTCAAATAAAGGGAAAAGACTAAAGAAGGCAACAGCGGTGGACTCGCTTTCGGGTTCATGTGGATAATGGTTTTTTTCCGCAGACCATCGGCCTGTTGTTCTGTTCTCTCCACACGCCACTCCTTCATCCTCTTCTTTCCTCTGTTTGTTGTGTGTGCTAAATGACTGCATCTGATTGGATGGGGTTTGACCACAGTGTTCAAACGTTAAATCTAGACTATGAAAAGCTACTATTGCTACCTTTAACTACTGTAGTTGTGCTTTTTTAAGTATAAAAGCCACGTGGGACCGTGGAATCTGTAAGCTCCCTTCATAGTGCCATGGAACTCTGGGTAATGTGGCTGTGTGTTATAGGTTTGTTATCTTAATGTGGACCGAGCGGTAAATTTGCTTGGGTGAATTTTCAGACACACCACTTTATGTGTTTACAGATTATGTAATCTGAGCAGTCCTAACCGAAAGGGTTCAAATTTTGCCCTTCTTTTACGGCTTGGGCATCCTTCTAAACGGCTTTTGTCGTGTTCAAGAGCAGCTCTGTGTAACTTATTGTCGTGAAGGCCAGTTTTGAATCCATCTCTTGCACTGGTGCAGTTCATTTCAGTTCAGAAAGAGAATAACAATAAAGTGAGTGCAGAATGCCAGCTCCAATCTCTCCTGGCGCTGAAGCTTCAGAAACACAAGAGGTGCACTAGTGCAAGACTTTGATTTAAGAGCCTTGATCTGACGTTCTCAAAGACCGTAAAGTGCTATTTGAATGAGCTCGGGTTAAGGAACATCCTGAATTCTCTAATGTGAACACACCGCGGTTCGTTACAGATTAGATTATTAATTTATGCAATCGATGGAAAGTATGTGAGGTCAGTGTAGTGAGATAATCCAGCATGTGACATGCTTTTGCCAACATCACATTAAGAGTTTACAATTATGACTGTTACTTTCCGTCCAAACCAACACGCATACATTTATGGACACGCACTACGAGAAAAACGCAAAACCAGTGGCCATATTTTGGTGATTTTTGTTCTCAGACACAATTTACAATCTTACACATGCAAGCATGTATAATTGGAAGACGTTTGCTTGGTAAACTTGCTCAATGTCCCATACAGGTACACTCAGTCACTCATCTATGTGGAGTTTACGAGGGCACGCTTTCCCTCCAACCCTGCTGAGATTACTTCTTTGTACTTTGTAGAGTCGCTGCATACGGAGCTGTAAGGCAAATCTCGTAGAGTAGTCACGATTTTAGACGTAGGTCGATTTTAAAAGCAGAAATTGTAGAACTAATCTGAATTTGACTTTAAACTTCTTTAGGATAGCATGGTTTAACACCAACAAACTGAAAAAAGGAGCTCGTTTTGAATTGTAAAAATGCAATTGCAGGATTTTTTCACTGTCCTTTCCAAAGTTTGATTTCCAGTCTTAAAATCACGCTTCTCGAGTAGATCTGACGTAGATAATTGTGTATTTTGCGCCAAATTTGCCAAAGGGAAAATCTTTCTAATGGAGAACTGCAGTGTGCCACACAGCCCCTGAAGTGGGTTTTGTATTTCGAATCGTACATTTTTTTACCCACACCAAAAAAATGTCCTTGCAAGGATAAAGAGGCCTTGGTGACATTTCGTATAGGTGTTTGTACTGAAGGGATCCAGCCTACAGCTCTTTTACTGCATCTGAACACCTTTTCCTGTGATGAAAGAGTGTTTTTAACGGAATTCTGGGATTCTGTGTTGGGGGTTTGTAGTTTCAGTGGCTTGATTTTGAAAGAGAAGAAAAAAATGAGCTTGAATAGCTGTTTATTCTATTTTTTTTGTTGCGTGTGTTTTATTTTGTTTTACATTTCTAATGAAAGGAAACAATATTGTACCAGCTTTAGGGCATTTCTGTAGGAAACCTTCGATGATGACCTTCAGTCCCTGGTGAAGATGGTCCGCTGTTGCTTGCTAATACTAAGATCCACAAGAAAGACACTACAAACAATGAAGGAAAAAAACAACATTGATAAAAAAAGACTTTTTCCTGAAGCCTAATATCTATTTAACCAATAAACAAACAAATGAAGTTGGAGTTGGTGAAACCATGTGAATTACAGCCATACCAAGTTCTGCCGTGAAGATTTTCATGGACTCGCCGTACGTGCTGCTCGCTGGCCGTCACACCAACCGACCGCAGGTGCGTCTCTCCGTACGGGGCGTTCAAAGTGTACATGGTCTGTCCGGTTTATACTGTATATGTATTTGCTTTGGCAGAGCAAGGGTCAGCAACTGTACATCTGTGCTCTGCGGTCTGTAAATCAGGGTGTGGCTGTATTGCCCCCCCCCCCCCCCCCTGTGAAACCTAGCCCCTCCCTGTGCCCCGCCCCCTTGTTTGCCATGTCCATATTTGGAATGTTAATGTGCTTCGTGTTGACAATGCATGGATGCTAACCTGTCTGTATATAGTATGCAGAATCCCCTTCATTAACGTAGTCGACAGAGGTTTGAAAGCTGTATAGATATTCAGACTTTTGTTTCGTTTGCTTGTTCGGGTGGTTTTCCTGTCCGTAAGTTTCATTTGAATGTTTCTTTTTTTTTTTTTTTTGCTCATGTTTATTAAAAAGGCAGTATCTGTCGTTTGGTACAGGAGCACATGTACAAACAAAGGAAGCAATATGTCTAGGCCCTCTGCTTGGTTGTTGCAGTGGTTGTATTATTTAACGGTATGAGATATTTTGTCGTTGAAGCGTTCAGGTGTGTATGTATATACTGTACAGTAGAATGAAGGCAGAGTCACCGCTCTGCCATTATCACAGAGAGAATAGAACGTATTTATTTGAGACCCTTAAGAACTTCAGAATGACAAATATTGCCTTTTGGATTGATTGTTGCATAGAGCTTGTTTTGTTCTAGTTTATTCGCTGAGCAGTGCGTGTGTGTGTGTGCTTGGTCGGTCTGGAGCAATCTGTGATATCTGTAAGAATTAAGGGAACATATCCGCCATTTATCTGCTCCGAGTTTGTAAACCATCTTGCAAAAATCAGTGAACCATCTGGAAAATGTCTGTAAAACATTAGGAGAATGTGTGTGAAGTGTCAGGGTTTGCCTTGTGTATGTCTTACATTCCTAAACCCCTCTCTCTTCCTCACTGCTCAGATGGTCTCTAGCCTTTCAGGGGTTTAATACTAATCTTTAAATAATATTATTTCCTCCCCTCCCATTCTCTATCTCCTCTAACTCTCCAATCCAAGGCCTCACTTACATCTTGCATTAATGTGTCCAGTGAAATTCTGTAGGCTGTATGTTGTAAACAATGGCAGTCTATGTGTAAAGATGTTCCTGGTATTCCTGAACAATGAGGATATGTGTGTAAATGTCTACATTTCACTTATTTATAATGTATAAATTTATAGCATGTATAAAGGTTTGCAAATCCACTTAAAGGGCAAAGAATATTGTTCTTAACTAGTCGTTTTGTCTTGTTTTCCAGTAGAAATATCTAAAAATCCATAAAACAAGATACATTTGCATGTGTAATATAAGAGAATATCTATATCTCAAATAATTTTTTGTTGTTTCACGAATAAATCTAACACAATTTAAAGAGGTTTAGGTTTCAGAAGAAGAGAAAATAACAATTGAATATTTAACATGTCAAATAGTGTTGAGAATATTTTTACAGGAAATCAGGACAAAACACCGTTTTTTTTTTGCAGTGTAAACAACATGGCAGAAAGCTCTCATGCCAAAGCAGGACTGAATGTATTGTATGTAACGTAATAGCTGATGTAAATGAAAGCTGTGAGTTTTATTCTCTTATCTGTCTTGTACAGATTGAGGGGCTCAAATCATTGTATGTGTACAAGCTAACGCTGAGAGTCATGTTAATGCAAGTGTGTGTGGCCTTGTGGCATAGTGTGTCTTACACAGTCCTCTTGTCATGGGCTTATTAAAGCTGACTCTATTTTCCTCCTCACGCTCTTTCTCTTCTCTCTTCTTTCTCACTTTTCGCTTTATTTCACGCTGTTTTGTTTCGATCGTTAGGTTTTAATTTCGATCTGAATAATTAAATATGAGATTTTTTTGGTTTTGATTTATTTTTGTGTTGCACTCAATCTAATAAGATGGACGTCCACTAACTGTGATTGCTCCCCTAGTACACCTCTACACAGGAAATAAAGTTTGGGATATCCTGTTTAGAGCTAAGTGGCTGCAGTGTGTCTATTTTTATGATTATGTTTCTGAATACACACACACACTTAAAAGCTGTCGTCAGTAATGGTGTTGTGGACACTAATTTGAAATTGGCAACACTACAAAAGTAACTACACTGATATTTAAAGGTAGGGTAGACAACTTTGGAGAGGCTAGCAATAGCAAGTTAGCTTTGAAATCATAAGATTCATCAACCCACCCTCCCCTCAGAGTGTCTCCAAAGCCACGCCTCCTTCAAAACACATGAACGCTCACAACCAGAGCGTAGTCTGCAAAGTGTCTCGAGAGATGGCGTTAAAATACCTCATGTCTCAAAGAACATAACATTGCAATAATAATGAATTTAAACAACTTGAAAAGCGCTGACTTTGACAGTGTTGCAATAGAAATGCATAAATCCGAGTCTGAGGATGTGAACAGCTCCGAATAAAACGTCACGGCTTGTCATCTCGTAATTACGGTTACAACATTGCGTGAACGCAGCAAAAGTTCGCTCGGCGACCGGTGTCCTGAGGTGGAAATGAAAATAATTAGCGTAGCTGCTCTTCATAACCCTTAAAGCAGTACATAGTCATGCTTTTGATCTGACATAATGGGAGTACAAGGTAATGAGATGCATTATATGAATGCTTGACTAAATAGACTTAATCTAGGGTTAATCTAGATTTAAAACTGGGAGAGTGACTGAGTCTGAGCCCCGAATATCATCAGGAAGGCTATTCCAGAGTTTAGGAGACAGATATGAAAACACTAAGGAGTTTTGTGACCTTAATGAGCGTGATGGATTGTAGGGTGATAGAAGATCGGTTAAATACACAGGAGCTGAACCATTTAGGGCCTTATACACTCACCTAAAGGATTATTATTTATTCTATAAAGACCCATTCAAATTCGTAAAGAAGTTATTCACCAGTGAGAAGAATGGCACTTTAAAAACATCTAGGATTGAGCTAGAGAGATATTTGGAGGACACACATACAGATGCAAAAAGGCATGAGCCTATGTCAATTCCATCAGACATACCACCTATCAACCCACCAGAATACCAAATGGAGGTCTGTGCACCTAAGTGGAATAAGGTAGAGCAGGCTGTGAGAAAGGCAAGGGCTTCATCATCTCCAGGGCCTAATGGAGTTCCGTACAGAGTGTACAAGAGTGCTTCAGGAGTTCTGCGAATTTTGTGGAAATTGATATAAGTGGCATGGGAAAAACAGGTTGTACCTAGAGCATGGCGCAAAGCAGGTGGAGTCTTTATACCTAAAGAAAAAGATGCTACAAGCATCAGTCAGTTTCGTCCTATTTCACTATTAAACGTTGAGGGTAAGATTTTCTTCAGCATTATTGCCCAGAGATTGTCCTACCTGTTAAAGAATGGCTTCATTGACACCTCAGTTCAAAAAGCGGGCATTCCAGGGTTCTCAGGATGCTTTTAACACATCAATGTTATCTGGCAACGAATTCAGTCAGCTAAAAAGGAGAGGAAGGAACTCCATGTGACATTCCTGGATTTGGCTAATGCATATGGTTCAGTGCCACATGAGCTTCTTTGGGCAGCATTTGATTTTTTCAGAGTACCAATGTCAATAACAAATTTAGTGAAAGCCTATTTTGGAGATTTGCAATTCAGTTTCTCAACTCCAAAATTCAGCACTGCATGGCAATGCCTAGAGGTTGGAATAATGGCAGGATGCACCATTTCTCCACTGGCTTTTACCATGGCGATGGAAGTAATCATTAGGGCATCAAGATGGGTAGTAGGAGGAGAGCGCTTGGCTTCTGGGATGCGACTACCACCAA